AAAAGTCTATTTAACCAATAAAATGGGGTGAACTGGATTGAGGAGAGAGAAAGAGCTATTACAAGTAGTATAAAAAATACAAAATAAAAATAAAAATTAATATACTAGCCTAGCCTGAGAGGCTCTAAGGCCGAGCTTTTAAATTGGAGCCTGAAGCCTTTTTATTAAATAAGCTTTTATACAAGTCCAAGCCTAGTTTTCAACAATCAATTTTAGGCATGTAAGCTCAGGCCTTCACGAGTCGAGCCAAAGGCCCCTAATTCGTTTATCACCCCTAATATATATATTAAATTGAACGGAAGTGAAGCTAGACACCTATGTTGCACCGATACCGACACGGGACACGGGATACGACACGACACGACACTCCGACACGTTAATTCTAAGAAATGTTTAATTTCGACACGTTAGGTACACGTTTTGATATTATATAATATTTTTAATTTATGTAATGTATATTATATTTAGTATTCAATAATTTAACAAAAAATAAAGCAAAACTTATAATACCCATCAATTATGCAAAGAAGCATAATATATCTCAAATGTTTATATTAAACTCAATAAAATCGTAATTGTAATCTAACGAATCTAATAGTTGGAACTCAAAATGCAACGCAACGTAACCTTTGAACTTTTTTTGAGTCTTTGCAACGAGTATTGAAGTGTCGGGAAGTGCCGGACACGACACGTCAGGATTTTTGAAGTGTCGGTGCTTCATAGCTAGACACAAGGTTTTCAAATCAAAATTTAGATAAACAAGTAATTATCTTCGTATAGATATAATCAAATAGTTTTTTTTTTGGTGAAGTATAATCAAATGGATTTAACCCAATTGGTCTCATAGTTAAAGAGGTATGTTTTTTTAAAGGGTAATGAGTTTGATTCTTGATAGTTACAATTACTAGGAGAGTGTAGAGACACAAATCCAAAACTGGATTAATCAAGCTATGCGTATCCGTTGATATCAACTAAAAAAAAAGAGACGTGTTTTCTACTTAACGACTAGGATTTAATCCTGGTAGACATTAAGTCATTACTTTCAATTGATTTTTCTAAATATATCAAGCCAATATATATAACATCCTTAAGATCACACTAAGATAAATCCCACGATATAACCATAAAAAATAACAATTTTTTTTATTTTTTACAAAAGTTTATATTTAGGGAAAGATATAGGTTTTTTCACCCTTTTGCCCCTTATTAATTAATAATCATTTTGCCCCTGATTCGAAACTATCTATCAATCTGCCCCTCTTTAATCGACTACTTTGCATGTTTAATCGACTAAATGGTTGTTGGAAGATTTAATCGACTAAATCTCCCTACTTAATCGATTAAAATCATACTGGCTACTCTTTTTTTTGTCAAATATGGAGATTTAGTCGACTAAATAGGGAGATTTAGTCGACTAAATCTCCCAACAGCCATTTTTTGTCTGTTTTGGCCATTTAGTCGATTAAAAATACAAGGTAGTCGATTAAAGAGGGGCAGATTGATAAATAGTTTCGAATCAGGGGTAAAATGGTTATTAATTAATTAATAAAGGGCAAAAGAGTAAAAAGCCGAAAGATATATCTCCATGATCACAGAAGATCATTAACTGTGAGTTTTAATGAGATTACATATTATTTACCAAAACCTATAAATTAAACTCAAACGATAACTAACATGGACGAAAATCAAACAATTTATATGTTAACTATGTGTTGATCTAAAAGATAAAGAGTTTGGTTTGTGAATTCATCATACTAAACTGGAAGTTGTCAAAATTAAAAGTAATTCCTGAGAACCGGTTGGAGGTCTCGTACCAAAAAAGCAACTTCCAATTTTTTTTACGGTAAACAAAAAGCAACTTCCATATTAGATTATTTATTAGAATGAGTTTGATTTAATTACTTATATAATAAACAAGAACTTACACTGTCAATGAATAATTTAAAAAATATTACAAACTTTCATTACTAGTAAAAAAATATTTATAAGGTAACATTTTTTTACTCGTAATATATAAAGTAACACAAATAAGAAGTCAAATTTCTATTTATAATTAATTGAAAGCACCATTGATTTTCAAAATCACTAGGCTATTGTACGCATGCAACAAATTAACATAAAAGTTTATTTTTTCTTCAACAAAAATTATCTCACAAGCATATTTTGAAGCTTTAATAGCAGCATATTTCAAAATTTTATTAGCATTGATCTGTGATATATTCTTAGGTAAATGTAATCCATAACACCATTTTTTTTTATCTTATGATGTTTTTTTATTTTATTTTCTTTTCTTTTGAGGTTTTCTATATTTTTTGGGTGTAAAATTAATTATCGTTTAGGATATTAAAGTTAACAATTTCTAAAAAAAAAATTACAGGCTTAGATATCTAACATTGTAAGGAATAATCAATTAATCAATATTACTTAGAAGTCACATCTTTATGCGTATTATAATTTTATGAATAGTATATATATAAGGAGTTTATATTTATAATTTATTTTCTCTTATAACCTCTTAATTACAATCATTAATATTATCATTGGATCAAAATAATATCAACTAAAAACCGTTAATTTTATTTTGATCCAGCAATAATAAAGCTTATTGTGACTCAAGGGGCTTATATGCATGATTTAATGAGTTCACAAAATCATGTTAAGCGAATTTTTGTAATCACAAAATATGTTTTTTAAAGCAATCCATAATTTGCACTGTTGAATTTATTCTCAAGTTTACTATATAAAATGATGTATACACTCACGTGAGGTGAGCCTTCGCACGAGTCTCACTTCACATTGTAGTTATCTTAGACCATAGGTCTAAACAAGATTTTCTCGGTTTTTTTATCCATGTAAAATAAAATAAATATTTTATCAATTTAATTCTTTTGACAGATTTATCAATCTAATATGAAAAGATGTGCATTTTAGTAATGTATATTCATGTCAATCATCATCCTCATATGTGACTTATATAAAACTCAAGTACTCTACCACTCTATATTCAAGTCACGCACTTCTATCATCCGCATCTTGCATGTGCAAAGCGTGACAAATGGCAGGTTGACTTTTGCACAAATAATACACAAAAACTGTGAATTACTCGTGCGATGCTCGGAGAAAAAAGAATAAAATTGTTGTCGGCCGTCATTGGTTAATCATCACTATTTGTAAATCAACACCTTTATCGTAGCGTAAAGCTCTGAATTATAATATGCTGGAGATGTAAACATAAAGTTATAAATATAAAAGAACAAAAAACACAAAATAGCATACATGTTCCTTGAGACATATCTTAAATAGAAAAAAATTATCGTGTTATTTTGTGATATTTTTGTACTTGAAAAAACTACAGCATGTACGCAGAACTTTGAAAATAACAACTTGCCATCTTATTGAATGAAGTCAAAAATGCTACAGAATCCAGGATAATGCACAATAGTCAATGCGGCCAATATATTTTAGCTGTTTTTTTTTCTATCTTGCATTCCTAGAGCAAAAAGAACACGTCCAACTACCTACAAAAACCAAAAACAAAACAACCATAAATTATATTGGATGAACACTATTTGAGAATAGAAATTTCAAATTAATATAGCAAGACAATCATTAAAGATTGCATTAAAACTTTCCTGTTTAATTGCAATGCATAACTATAATTTATTAATAATAAATTTAACATTTTTGAAATTAGTGAAATATTGGAAAAAAAATGGCGCTAGACAAATAAAAATTACTTACCTATTAGTTATTATCTTAGTCAATGAATCTACTGTGAATTTTAAAATAGTAATGATTAAATCATTTATAATTTTTATTATTAAAAAAAAGTATCATATTGTAATTCTTTTTATCACCTGTATAAGTATTATATAATTTATGTAAACTTTTTGAATTTTGATTTTAGTAATTAAAAAATTAGAGTTTCATTTGGTTTGTACTCTTATCGTTTTAAATGTGAGCATTTTGAATAATAACGGTCAACTTGCAAATGGAATGATTAAATGGAGTTGGGTTATCGAGCAACTATATAGTTATATTTTGACAGCAATTTAAGAGTGTCGTTTTGACTCCCAAAACAGCTTTTCGTGTTCCAATGCATCCATTTAAGAGTTATGTAAACTCTTCAAATTTTGATTTTAGTAATTAAAAAATTAACTTTTCGAATTTTGATTTTAGTAATTAAAAAATTAATGGTATTATAATTCTCTCACATGAATTCGACGTCAATCAATTTTTATCATTATTGGCTCACTTTTTATCACCTGAATAAGTATTGTATCATTTATGTAAACTTTTCGAATTTTGATTTTAGTAATTAAAAAATCAGAGTTTTATTTGGTTTGTACTCTTATCGTTTTAAATGTGAGGATTTTCAATAATACTTGTCAAGTCTACACTCTCTCATTTATAAATCAATCTCAATTCAACGTTAAGTAATAAAAACTCCACTAACTATTAATTACCATTTAATCCAGCAATTAATGGTATTATAACTCTCTCACATGTTGCTTTCCAGAATCCAATGTGTCCATCAACCATTTTTTAAAAATTTCAAATGCATTCAATAACAGTGACTCATTAAGTTATCACATAGAAATTCACGTTAACAGCATTTTAACACATTATCATGAACTATGAAGCATAAGAGTTGATTAATTATTCAAAATCCAAGCCAGATAAGCAAATATATAATAATATTATAATCCATTCAAATATTGTTGTACCTAATGGAACAAAAAGTCCAGAAAATTAACATTTCTATCATGAACATGCATCTGAATACTTTGCAAAACAGTTTAATCAAAAATATTCTTTCGACCAAATTATCTGTTGTATCAGCACATACAACTCGCAATAAGTCAAGGATCTCCTTCCTCCGGTTTTGTGTCTCCAGCTTCACCATCAAACTTATTCCAAAATAATTTTTTCCATGTGTCAGTGTTTAATGCGATAACGATTACAATATAAATGACTAAAGTACAGAACACAGTGAGAATTTACGGGCAAACACTTAACTCTTTCTCCAGTTTAATCTTTTTCAAAGGACGGACAATAGAAGAATTACACTTGTCTTCAACACTATTATTAAAATTCGGAGAGGGTGACAACAGAGACAGAGACACATCTGCATCTCCTGTACTCTCACAGGTTTGAGTCTCATCATCCTGTAAAAAAAAAGTCAAAAATGTCACAACTGTATGTCTATGGAAACAGACACAAACTTCATTCAATTGTTTCTGTTAATTTACTGCAACCCGTCCACGTTCTTGTGATTCAACATCATTGTCGTTGGTGTTATCAAACAGGGTCTCATCTTGCATTATTTTTTTTAAAACGTAAAAATTCAAACCAAATAAACAAACGACATACATTCGTTAATAGAAACACACACAAAAATAAAAAAACGCAACAAATCAAAGATCTTAATTTAGAACGACATACGTTAAACTCCATCACAGACTTAAGAAATGATTGGATAATAGATTCGCTGTTGCAAACCCTTGAAACTTGATATTTTGGCTCGTTCAATGAGTCTAAATGCTTTTTTTTCACATTGACCTTAAACAACATGAATTTCTCATTGAGAATGTTAAGTTCTTCTGGATAAAGCTCCAAATCAGCACCCTACTACAGAAAAAAAAGGAAAAAAATAAAAAAGAAAACATACCAGAAAGGAATTCCAAAGTACAAATACTGTCAATGGATGACAAAATGCTTGAAATAAGTATAAAACCCGCTTGAAATGTTGTGCCCGTATTTCAGCAGCACCCATTCCTAATAAAGCTACACAGTCTTTATCAAACAGTATGAAAGAGGCAACATCAATGTTATCTACTACCCTGACTTGAACATTAAACCTGTCACACACGACAAACAACAGTCAACAAATAAGTACATAACACACTGATTTTTTTACGTCTTAAAAAAACTCTCAAAATAATACTTACTTAGGAAAATAATCGTTCCAGTGTTTTTGACAATTCTTACAAAACCATTTTTCAAAATCCTCGCATACAGAATACGTGCATTTCTTGCGGGACTTGTACCACCAGTTGTACTTCGACTCAATTGATTTTATTGTTCCATAAGTAATGCAAGTAGTAATCTCACTGCAATTATTGATGTCACTAATAGACTTTCTCTCTGTGTCTTTCAGAAAAACATTTTCAAAAGAATACGACGATTTGCTAGACAACTGAGTCAACCTCATACTGCTCTCTATTGGATCAGACGACAACCTAAAACGCAACACAACAGCAAAACAATCACCAAATAGCAAGTTAAAACAACAATTAATGGAAGACACACACACATAATGAAGCGCATTTTTAATAAATTGCGTGTATTTATTTTTTTTTCCTTTTTTTTTAACGAAGCACGTAAAGAGAATGCTCACTTATTTTTGAACTCCACGATTTCAGGAAGACTGGAATCAAATAGAATTCTCGTCATATATTTTGTATTTGTTATCCCTATCTTACCTAATCAATCATGAAAACGTAAGTAACAGAGATTCAGAACACACAAAATAAAAAAATGAAATATATTAAGCACAAATTATTGAAAATGTAATATTTATTTTCGATTTAAGAAAAATATCAAAAGAAGAAAGTTTTTAAACATCTCTCAAGTGTGAACACATTGGTGAAATTGAATGAGGGAGTGACACATCATGAAACTTTCCATTGATGTTTATTCCCTTAGTATATATAATATAATAATGATGATGTGCGACTTAAACATGCATTTTCAAAATATTTGTTTTTACATTAAATTAATAAATCATTTACCAAAAAGAATTAAATGATGAATAGTTACACAATTAGCCTTACATGGTCAAAAACCCAAAATTTCTCTGGGCAAGTTGCAAAAATATTATATTTATTAGAACCAATACAGCTAATTGGACCGTGAAACTAGGAACCAATCCTGTGATCGGGTCTAGTTGACCGTTAAAATCAAATTTTCAAAAATTGGTAAAATTCAATACAAAACAAAAAATTATAATCAACTTTTTTATGGGCTAATATTTTTTATATTATACGAAATAATTTTATTTTTTATAATTTTATTTTTTACATACACATAAAAGTGTGTAAAATCGTTTTTTTTTTCTCTTCTTCTCGTAAGATTCTACGTAAGCCCCAACACGTTTATATGACTGTAAAAAATAATTTTATTTAGATAATTTTATATCCTACAATATAAAGAAATATTAATTTCCTTTTTTATTATGTGAACTGGTCACTATTCAAACAATCGAACCAGTCTATTTTTTTTTGAAAACTTTTTGTATTACATTAATTATTTAATCCCTAATTTATAACTAATACTCAACAGTTTTCGTTGTGTAGGCAACTAATGTGGTCTTTATAAGGCCTAGGGCACTCCCAACCTTTGAGCTAGCTTTTAGGGTGGTGTATCCCAAGGTTCTTTATATGAGACAAATAAAAACTTGTAATACAATAAAAACTTAGATTTTATTTTAATAAGAAATTTTACTTCTTTTTTTTTTCGCTATTCAACATAAAATTAGTATATAGAAAAGGAGAAAATCAGTTTATAAATTTTTACAAATTATACTATGTACTCCCAGAAGTACATTAAATTATATTATGTACTTCTAAAAATATATAATATAGTTTGTAAATAAATTTTTTATAAATATAACCCTGTATAAAAAATTATACAAGTTTGAATATTGAAAACATTGATTCAACACAAATACATCATATCTAGCTACTTTATGAGATGTTCTGACATCACAATGTCGTTACAACATGCCACCTATCAATTAAACTTAAACTGACAAAAGTAGGTTGTATCAGTGTTTTGAAAAAAAGTTCAAAGATATTCCCGCTTTTGCAGCCACCACTGCAAATGCATATGCACATGAAACTCCTTGCTACGTTCATTATATTTTTCACCATGGCACTCTAGCTTCCTTTCTTGATTGGATTGGTTCCATTTCCACCATTTTTGGCACTTGGCTATACAACTGAGGTGGCACGGAATTGGAATCATTGGTAAGGATCACTTTACCAACCTCACATTTAACATGGCTTCTTAAATTTGTATCCTTTTTTTTTTTTTTTAATCATTTTTCACTATAGTTGCAGTTTGTTTTTGATGGATCATGAATGGGAATTTTGTTAAATCCAAATAAATAGTGCACAGTTCAAAGCAAGTGCCAAAACCCAGCATGCAAGTTTGTCTTTCGATCCTTAAATACCACAAATATAAGCAAGGTTGTCTTTTGACAAAAGTAGGAATCTCCAAACATCTCATGATTTCAGTTCAACTGTGTCCTTCACTGTTTTGCAGAAAACCCATTTGCAGAAATATGCTTTGCTGTTGTAACTGTGATTCACAAAAGTACATGTTAGGCAAGAGAAATTTTTCATTCAAATTTCCAATCATTAATGTCTTTGGTGATGCTACCTTTGTGCAGAATATAAAGCCCATTGATCGAGAAAAGTGGCAATTATATTTATAGCACAAACAGTTCCCTCTCCCAATCTCTGATTTGCACAAGTTACTCTGAGCATCCCTTTTCGAAGCTCTGGTTGGTGTTGCACTTGCCTAACTTATTGCATAATTAAAAATTCTGCTATTAGTTACCAATTTAATGAACACATTGATTTTAATCCAAGTTACTTACCATGTTCTTGTTTGTGGTATGATTTCTTTGCAAATTCATTTTATTGTTCACATTTGTTTTTCCCTTAGAGAGAAGAATGCTGATGTTTCTTATTTACCTGGGTGTGAATTGTAAAATTTCTCCTATTTAGCTTATTATAGTTGGTTCCTGTCATTTCATGGTGTTTCTTTTCTGAGATGCTAACATTGGAGGCTTTATGGCTGCAAGTTCTTTTATGATGACATATATAAAACTAAGGTAGGCTAGGAATCTGAATAGTTTAACATGTTGATTGTCTATTATTTTTGAAGATTAAAGATTCTATTTTCAATGACCATTTCAATCAGCTTTGAAAGTTTAGATCCTTTTGTACTTAAAAATTACAAGCCTTCATGTTGTTTAGCTTTATGGAATTCTTCAGTGCAGATAATCAGGTCATTATTGGACCTTCAAATTAAAATTTTTATAATCATATTGGCTGGTAGAATGACTCAAGCTAGTGTTGGAGGAAGCCTGCAAGAGGATCTTCAAGAGGCAACCTTGGTTGGAAACACAAATGGTTTTAAGGCTAATATGAATAGTGCTCTTCAAATTTCATCATCCCAGAGGGGACTTCTAGGTGATGAAAGCCTTCATACAAGGAAATCAAGAATGTTGGCATGTATTGCCAATATATTTAAACTGCAGAGATTCATACCCCATGCTAATTTCAAAAAACCTTTCAATGGATTTTGTGCAATGAAGATTGATTGGACTTCTCTCTGGAGTATCAGCATACAATGGATTAAGAATCCTTTAAACATGGCCCTTCTTTCATGGATAATTTGTGTTGCTGTCTCAGGAGCAATTCTTTTTCTTGTTATGACCGGAATGTTAAACAAAATCCTTACAAAGAAGTCACAGAGGAACTCATGGTTTGAGGTCCACAATCAATTTCTCAATGCTCTATTTACTCTCATGTGTCTGTACCAGCATCCAAAGCGGTTCTACCATCTTGTACTTCTTTGCAGGTGGAAACCAAAGGACATCACAATCCTCAGAAAAATATACTGCAAGAATGGCACTTGCAAGCCTCATGAATGGTTCCACATGATGGTGGTTGTGGTGCTACTCCATGTCAATTGCTTTGCTCAGTATGCATTGTGTGGCCTTAACTGGGGTTTTAATAGATCTGAAAGACCTGCTATTGGTGTTGGTATATGTATCTTCATTGCAATTGTTGCTCCAGCACTTGCAGGCATTTACTGCATTGTCAGCCCTCTAGGCAAGGAGTATGAAGCTGATGAAGAAGCACAGAATCATGCTCCTACTTCTACTGCATTTGCATCAAGAAATTATCATAGCCTTGTTGAGTACACACCTCAATGGAAAGGTGGACTATTTGATCTTTTGGACAATGTTTATGTGGCTTATCTTACTCTCTTTTGTAGCTTTTGTGTCTTTGGAAAGAATATGGAAAGACTTCATTTTGGTAACATGTATGTCCATATAGCAACTTTCCTCCTCTTCTGCATGGCTCCCTTTTGGATCTTTCATCTGGCAACCTTGAATATTGATGATGATATTGTTAGAAGAGTTATGGGGTTGATAGGTATATTGCTTTGTGTGCTTGGTTTACTCTATGGTGGGTATTGGAGGATCCAAATGAGGAAAAGATTTAACTTGCCACCAAATAAACTTTGTTGTGGGAAGCCAGCAGTGACAGATTGCATTCAATGGCTATTTTGTTGCTGGTGTTCTCTTGCACAGGAAGTTAGAACAGCTGAATTCTATGACATAGTTGATGACAAATTTATCTGCAAGAAACACACTGAAAGCTGTGTTCAATCATTGCCTCCTGAAGACAGAGTTCCTCAAGTTAGATCAATGTCCACTTCTTCACTTCGGGGCAGTCCTAGGTTGTCCAAAATCTGGTCTGAAGAGTCAAATGTTGAGTTTTCTAGGGAAAGAAAGCAAAACGTTATGGAAGTGCCTATTCCACTGTCTATTCAAATTGAAGACAGTTACAGCAAAAGACATAAAGAGAAACCTTGATGATATTATAAGGCTTTTAGAAGTCATGGTACAGATTAATCTGTTATAGTAATGTTAATTCTGATGAAATCATCTATGCATTTCAAAATAGACCTTTTGCATTTGTAATCTTTATAGACCTCTTTTAAAGTCAGTTGGTGAGATATTATTATCTCGTGTTTGATAATTTTCAAAATATTTTGTTAAAAATTCGAAATTTACATATTAAAAGCTGTGCAAATAAATATAATATTGTAAATGTACATGAATGCAAATTGCTTAAACAGCAATGATTGATGAAGATATGTGTGAGGTGAACATTGATGCCTGGAATAAAGGAAAGTCCTTATTAGGCAACTTGTTGAATCTGACCGTTTCCCTTTCAAATTCAAATATATCACTTTGACAAAACCTCTGTTCTATTGTTAGTCTTTCTTAAACAAACTTCACACAAGTTGAGTATCATAGCTTGGATCATAAACGCATATTATCTAAATGACAAATGCTAACGAATGTGTCAATTCTTAAGAATAAAAAATGAAAAGTATTAAATAAAAGGGAAAAATTTACAAATACCACTAACATTTCTCTTAGAACCAAAAATGTTCCTAATCTTTTTATTAATTAATAATGCCCATTTAAAATACTCATATCCCAGTCAACTTCAAATATATAACTGTTAATTTTTATCACATTATGACTATTTTGCCCTGTAATTGTCTAAAAATATAGAGCAGCGTGATTTGGCTTCTACCTTAGTTTCCCCCAAATACTAAGGGTTTCTTTAAGGGCGTTTGGTACAGGAGAAATTTTTATTTGTCCGGGAATCTCAATTTTCAAAAATATGATTTTTACATTCAGTTTACCATAATATCTGGAAATTTAAAATTTAGAAAAATTCAGTTTCCCGGGAATTCGGCCAAATGCCGTGTACCAAACGCCCCGAGCAAGTATGGAGGGTAAAGAAGAAAAAGAGTTTACCAAAAAAAAAAAGGAAGAAGAAAAGGATTCTCGAAACCGGTAATTGATACTCTTTATTAAGTTAGAATTTTGCTTTTTCTTATATGAGTGTAACAAAACAACAAAAATTTAAATTGGGGTATGAGTGTTTTGAATTCGACCCAATCCTTTAATAAAAATCAAGCAGAATCATATAATTGAAATTATTGTTTTATACATGAGATATAAAAAAAGTTTATCTAATTATTTCTCCATATTAATTATAAGTTGAAATTTGTTGATATGTAAATTGATTTTTTATAATATTTGTTCATACAAAAAATATGTTAACTAATAATAACATTTTTTTTATAAAAAATATTATGAAAAAAAATTGACATATAAATAAATATTAATAGTAATTGTTAAGAATAAAAAAAATAAAATATTATTTTTATTTATTACCATTGCATATATTATTTTGCATGCTTTTTAGATGACCATCAAGAGTTTTTGACCATTATAATACAATTTTAAAAAACTATCAAAATAATATTGTACATTTTGATTACGTTGTGGAGGTACAGAATAAGATAAGTCATAAATTAATATTGGATGGTTTCCTTTTTCGAGGTAGAAGTGTAACAAAAATATTATTTTAAATAACAATTGATAAAGTTGTTAGATATATAAAAAGAACAAAAATTATTGATATGTTTTTTTTTAGGAGGGAGGGGTTGCTCAATCTTTTAGCAATTGATTTTGAACTCTTACCGACAAATAATTAAAGGGCAATTGCAAAACAGTCACAATGAACAGTGTTATTCAAAATATACTTTAATAAAATTTTGAAATTTTCGGTCAACAATTGCATCTATGACACATTCCACATCTTCATCATCACATATATCATTACCAATGTAGTATATAGCATCCTTATCAATTTTTTGGTGAATTCTTCCCTTCAGCTCATTGTATGTAGTGTCTCGTTTGATTTTCAACATTTTTTTTCCTTCAAATTGAACATCATTGGAGTTTTCATAATGCTTTCCATCATAGTAGATCATTATAACATACATGTTTGGACTGGTGCTCATCTTGTGCACGATTTTGGGAGTACAGTTCGGATTTTGGAGGTTTGGGTTCAGATTTTGAGGGCAACAAATGAAAATATAAGTGCAATGACAATGATTTCACAATAGTAAGGCTTTAGAGATGGAGGGATGAACAGAATCATGATTGCAAGGGTTACATATGACAAACAAGAGAGATATTGGTTTACAAAATGATAATATTTGAAATGAGACCGAGAAAGTGCAAAATATAGGGTTTCTGCCGACATTTAATCGATTAAATATTGTGTCTTAATCGATTAAATGTCCCGAAATTTAATCGATTAAGAGGAATATTTAATCGATTAAATTTTGGGTCAATGTTTTTTCTGAATTTTGACCGTTTAATCGATTAAAACTTCATGTTAATTGATTAAAGAGAGGCAGGTTGGTGGATAGTTCTGGACGAGGGGCAAATTTGTTATTAATTAATTAATGAGGGGTAAAAGGGTCAAAAAGCCAAGGGATATAAGTCTTTTAAAAGTTAGGAGTGTTATTGATTAAAAAGAAGTTTAGCAGCCTTTTTTATTCTAAAGAAAATGTTAGGGGTATTTATAAAAAAAATTCCTAAATAAAAATTTGGCCTTTTTAAAATGTTATATTTTTTATTTTATTTTTATTTTTTAATTCCATCACAATTGTCCCAAGAATGTAAATGAGTTGGATAAGACTAAGTTTTGGTCTAAATAGGCCATTAGCCTATTGTAGGTTAAATTATAAGTAGGTCTAATTTATTATAAAAAAGTAAAAGATTTGGCATTTGCCTATTAATTTCTTTAAGCCTATCAAACCTTCAATATCGATTAAGATTTAAAAATATATCCATAAAATAATATTTTTATTAATTAAAATATTAAATAATTATTTATTTTATTTTAATCAAAATAAAAAATACGATATAAGCCAGCTTACTTGTAAGTTAGGCGGCCTTGGGATTCTTTTCTAAACACTTTTTTCAAGGTTCAAGTCTGTTTTATTTTATTAAATATATCATATCATATTTGACCTGGTATAAATTGTGTCATAGGGCGCCGTAATACATTCTCTGACCCATTTATACTCCACTAGATAATATTTGTTAGCAAGACCTTGTCTAGAAAAGGAAACTGAAAGTTATGCAGAATATTAAAATAAGAAGCATATGCAACTTGTATTAGAACAAGTAGCGGGGGGAAAGGTGAATACGGGAACAAAAATAGTTCATAATTACAAGTAGAGTTCTATACACCTGCTAGAATTAAAGTAACCATTTTCAAGATCATCTGTGCCAGACTCAATCAAAAGTGCTCTCCCATTCTCAACAGCAAAGAGGCCTTTCCAATTACTGCATAATCGTGTTAACAATTATAACTTTCACTTTTTTTTGTTCATTTTAATTTTGAGAGGTGTTTCAAGTAGGGGTGTAAATGAGTCGGGTAGATTATTAGGGACTTACAGCCTAGCCTATCTTAGGCCTAACCTGGCCTGTTCTATTTTTTGAATAGAGCAGATTTAGACTTTTAGAAAAGTTCATTTAAAATTAGGCCATAGCCCCATTTTAAAAAGTCTGGCTTAAAAGCCTACAAGCTAGCCTTTTAATTTTTAACAATATAATATATTTATGATATATATTGTTCACTTAAAGATATTTTTTAATATCATGATTTATAATACTAATTTTTAAAGTAATAGGATTTATGTTATTTTAACAAATAATAAATATTTATTTTAAATTTAATATTAAATTAAATTAGTAAAAGAAGTGCAAATTATATATATTTATGTGTGCGCGTGTTATTTGTTATATTTTGTATAGGAAAATTTTCAATGACTTCAAATATGCATTTAAAATTTTATTTCTTGCAACAGATTATACTTCACCTTAAAAATTGTTTATAACTTATCATGTATGATTGGACGTTACTTTGTTTAAAAATAAGCAATTATTTTTCAAGAATGTGAGGTTTGAGTGACGCAAAAGGTGAAAATGATTAATCAAAGCTAGACAAAAGATAGGAAGAATGCTCACTAAAAGGTTGTGAAGGTTGCCAAGAATAAATAAAAAGCTCAAAAAAATATTATTTCATGTGTTGTTATGAACATTATTTAAGAATCTTTGTGATCTTGTTAGAAAAATTGTTTGAGAATTTTTAATGAAATTTTCATGTGATCTTTGTGAATAAGAAATTTTAAGAACATTATTCTTAAAAAATTTATGTGATCTTTATAAACATTATTTCATGTGTTGTTAATGAAAATATTATTTCATGTAGTGTTTTAAAATCCCACCGCGCCCCCCGGGTCAACCCTGACCCCTCCCCTCTGAGGGTTGGGGTCACAAGTAGAACCCTATATGCATATCGACCCCTCCAACCCCCAAAACCCAGCCGGATTTCAGTGACTTCCGGGTCAAAGGGGGTCACTGCATGCTTTTTTTTTTTAAATTCCATGAAACAACATCGTTTTATTAAAAAATAAAATAAAAATGCTTGCAAACCTAAATCTAATCGTTCTCTTCTCTCCCAGAGACCTAGACGTCTTCAATCTTCATGATATGCCTCCAGTATAGATATGATTTTAAGCCAAAAAGATAAAGAATCTTGGTCAATCTTGAATAATAAGGGCTAGAATTGTTATTAAATTGATAAATCTCAATCAGATACATTGTTACTGATTTTCTGTTGATTTTGTAGGGAAACAGGACAAAAAGAAGCCCATTTGGAAGTACCAGGCTGAAGTCCCACGCTATTAGCGTGAAACCCGCGCTAGTAGTGCCAGAAGAAATTTTTCATCCAGAGACTCCCATGCTATTAGCGTGGAAACCACACTAGTACCGTGAACCTTCAGTATGCTGATTAAAACTCCCACGCTATTAGCGCCAAACTAGCGCTAGTAGCGCGGGAGGTACAGGAAAATCTTTATTCTATCTCAGACTGAATCAAAGGAAGATTGGACCAAGATACACAATAAAGATTCGATCAAGATTTCTAAACAAGGCATAAACTCTATAAATAGAGACTCAAACCTCAGAGACAAACAATCTTTGGCTGAAGAGAATTCTTGGAGGCTCACGCTGGAGATCAGGATTCCTACGGAGTTGAAGAACGAAGATCATTGATTTTTCATCTTCTTCTTTTTCTTTATTGTTTTCATGAATACTTTTTATTTCTTTAATTTGTTTAAGCCAGCTATTTCTGGCTGGTTTATTTTTGTAGTTGGGATCATGGACCCAATGTGAATCCTTTATATTTTCTATATTGTTTTTATAATTTAACTAGTTAGTTTATTTTATTCTACCTGTGTTAATTTTTCCATATCCTGTTTGGATCTGATCACTCTAAATTATAGGGCTTTGAGAGTTATGACTCACAATATACATATTGGGGTTTTAATCTGGACAATGATAGAATAACAATTTGTGCATGACCTAGACAAAGACTTACATAGATTGCAGACTTATAATTCATTTGCTTAATGCTTAATTCAAGAGGGATTACTAGGACATTAAAATTCTAATTGGGTTAAAGGGTTGAAATCACTAAGACATTAGGGTTCAACTATTTTATAGGGAAATAATGAATTGTCTGAGTAAACCGATTAGTTAATTATAAAATACAATATAGGAATATAAGGGAGGATCGGAGGTGAAGTGCATCCTGGCTACATATTTTTTACAAATTTTCATCAATATTTTCTTACGTTCTTGATATTTTCTTGCATGCGTTCAAAATTAATTGTTATTAATTTTCTGTTTTAAATTTAATTGTTTTTAAATTCTGTTTCAATTATCTTCACAACTCAAACCAATTTTTATTTTCCAACTTAAAGGGAATAGTTAAACTAGTACTTGGTGCATTAATCCTCGTGGGAACGATACTCTACTTATCACTTTATTACTTGAAATGAACGGTATACTTGCCTATTTCGCAACACTTCACCTCGTTTCCGTGAATCTGCTAGAAAAGATAAGAATTTTACCCATTCAAATGAAATTCTTACAGTCATTGATGGAAAATAAAAACTCATTCTTACTTCCTTTAAATTTTCCTTTGTTATGTACCTTTTTAAAAGAAGCTGAACCGGGTCAGCATAGTGACCCATTAGAATATGAGTTTTGTACTTTAATATCTTGATACTTTAATTAGGTTGTGTAATACTGACTTGTGGTTGTAATTGGTGAATTATGTTAAGTATATTTTGAATCTTTGATTATTGGTGGTTTGTTTTTTCATATTTGCGTATAGGATATATATATTTATATTTTTTTAATATATAAAACCGGGTCAGCGTAGGGACCCTGTGACCCCCCGGTTGAACCTGTGACCCCGTGACCCCTGACTTCGGCCGGGGCGATGGCCGGGCCGGGTTTTTAAACACTGATTTCATGTAATCTTTGCGAATAAGAAATTTTATCTTTTATATTTTAGTTTGGTTTGTGCCTATAGATTTTAGTTTGTAATTACTCGGTAGGCCTTATAGGTCGATTAAGGCTTTTTAGTTATTTTACAATAGGTTAGGCTTGACTTATAAATCAAACTTTTAATATGCTAGTATAGGTTCTAATTATTTTACATAAGCTTAGGTTATTAAAGCCAAAGCCTGATCTAACCTAGCCCATTTATACGCGAGTTCCAAGGCCTAAAGTAATTCCAGCAAGAGGAATATATATATATATATATATATATATATATATGGGGCAGGATCATTTAACACCGATGTCAAACTTTAAAATTTGTCACAAAATTTCAACCATTGATTTTCGTCAATCATTGGGAATTAAACTTGTTAATTAGTTATTAATTCTCAATAAATAATAATCATTGATTGACGAAAATCAACGGTTAGGATTTGGTGTCAAAGGATCCTGCCATATACATATATATATATATATATATATATATATATATATATATATATGGAAGGTACAATAAAAAATATTACCCTCATTATTAATTGTTAATTTTTCTTAGGGATTAATATCTTTCATGTTGTAAGAGATAATTTTTATCTCCTACACACATATAAAAGTATATGGTGCCCTTTTTTTATGTATGTATGAGAGATAATATTATTTTCTAAAACATAAACATTAAGCCCTTTTACTTATATATAGCTATTCTAACTAAATTTTAGATAAAAGTTCATATGAACCTTTAGATGCAAGATGAGAGTTCTAATATATATGTTATGTGTGTGTGTGTTGCGGTTCATTTTATTTTTGGATCTAATATAACTATGATTGTATTGAACAAATTGACCAGGTCCACAAGCCAAATATGTACCACAAATCAGTGTGGTTGTTTTGAGCTACATGCATAAATCCTTATATGGCTACATGCATGGTACAAAGTATATGCTCTTAGCTGTCAATGGACCACAATTTCACAACCGTGAATTATGGCTAAAGGGCTAATACAAGTCCCGGCAACGATCGGCGATATAGATCACGAGGCTGGCTTTGCCACAAAGTCACCATGTTCTCTTGTTGCCTATCCTCCCACCCTGGTGACCTCAAATCCCTCACAACAAGCCACGTATTGAAATACTCTCTAAACTGCGTGATTAGGCCATTTTTCACTGTCCAAACGTGCACCCAATAAGCCTTACCTTCCCATCCCTCGGCGATCACGGTGTCTCCGATGGCGGTGACGCTCCTCGGCTCGAACCGGAACCCTTTGTTGTGAGCTGTCTCCCCTGTTAACACCTTCATCATGTGTTGACACTGTGGGGGGCCATGGAACCACCACTCAAGGTCATTTGCTAGCAACTTTGCCACCATTTCCATTTGACCTTGTCCCAAAAGTGCCTTGTAGAGTGCTTCAACTGTTCCCTTGTTTTCTATTTCCACCTTCTCATGCCTCTCTTTCACAGGAGTAATTTCAAAGTTGCATCCTTCCATTTCTGAAATTTTTAATGGAGCTTCTATTTATGTGTTTCTTCTAGTTTTTTTTGGAAGTAGCTTCCTCTCTTTGTGCATGGTAATATGGCATGGATGGCTCTACCTTTTTATAGGCCTAGCTAGGGAGATAAATGTCAAAGTTTTATAGTTCCTTATTTTAGATGGTTCAATAGGATATAAACGGTGGAGATTGATTACTTTATGTGATGGAGGGTTAGATGATGTGGACTAGTTCCGAACTTGTAGCTGTGATTAATGTTGCACGTGTGAACTGACACAATTGGAATGATACCAAAGATCGTAATCATTCATTGATTTCATTTTACATAATTTATTGATAAAATTGTGACATAATGTTCTAAAATTTCATATTAAAAGGAAATGGTAAGTTATATTTATAAATTTTTTTGTTTATAAACTCTTACAAACTACACTAAGTATGCCCGGTCATACTTTAATCATACAGTGTACGACCGGTCGCACTTAATGTAATTTACAAAAAAAAATTTGTAAACAGATCATGTCCCTAAAAAAAATATGAGAATATAGAAAAAAAATACATTTAACAACAATCATTAGCTACTAAACTGTGATGCTTTTAGGGGGACATAACGATGTGAACTTGAGATGTACGCGCGTGATAAAGCCAAAACCAAATTAGGTATATCTCTAGAATGACTAATCTACCCCCTAGGGAAGTTTGGCTTGTCATTTTGAAAACGTCAACATTCTCTGAATATTTTAGGTATAATCTAAAAGTGCTTTGAACTTAAAAGTGACACCTTTGGAATGATGTATGCATGCCATTTCTTTCTTATTTTTAATTAATTATGGCTACTAATAAAAGAAGATGATTTCAAATATGAATAATCTCTTTGCAAATATGTAAATGTCCCTATCTTTTACCTTTGTTAGTGGGGATTTAATTGGAAGTGAATTTTTTATTTATGATTATGAATAAAAAGTTAAAAATGTGTTTTTTGAATATCAAACGAGTGTATCGGCCAAGAGATATTGTCCTTAATCATTCACACGCTAAAAATATGTAGGAGACATTTGTGCATTTAGAAAAACTTAACGTTCTTTGAATCTTTTATGTGTATTACAAAAATGCTATGAGCTTTAAGTGACACTTTAGGAAAGTTGTATGCATGATCTTTTCTTGTTTTATCCACCTACCATTGCCGATTTGCTTCTCAAAACATCCGTAAGTAAAATTAAAGACAAATGAATTTGCCGTTTTCCTTTGTCAGACTTACTTTAGATTATAGTATTATTGGCAGATGGGGAGAAAACAGAAAAGATCATAAGAACATGGCTACTCTTGTGGGCATAGATGAGAACAAAATTTGTTTCATATAATGTAAAGAAAGCAAGGCAAAACAAAGTTCTCATTTGTGCCAATATTTATGATGTATAATATGTCTAATTTATGATTATTCATAGATTATAAATATCTATTCATAGAAAGCAAGGCAAAATTCCCGATTCTGCCAATATTTATGATTAATATGTCTAATTTGTATTATTCATAGATTATAAATACAAATGATTAACATTTTCTCGTTCATTATGAAAATTGTCTAGTATTTAAATTTTTTGAAATAATATAAGTTTCTCATAATTAGCTTAAGTAGAACTTAATATAAACTATTTATAAACTCAATTACTAAGTAAGTTTAATAGTTTATGACATAAATACCCTAATGACGTTTGTGAGTTGTGACGTTTTCTGAAGAATATTTTAAGCATCTTGCGCTGCTAGACCGGACAATAAAACAGAGCTCATAGATTACCTGAGGACATCAACAACCATAAGTGTTCCACGAATATAGTGGGGAAGCAGTATATTCGATCACTAAAATGAGTAAATTCCAGTATTCAACCGAAAAGAGCGTGTTAATGGTTGATTACTAAATATCCTTTTGTCTTTTAATTTGTATTTTTATTCATCCAAATCCTTGTCTTCTTTTTTTTCTTAACCAATTTATACCAACCCTAACTTTTAAATCTTGGAATTAAGTCATATACCAAAAATTGGACCGTATCCAAAAAATAAAAAATAATAAAATATGACAAAAAAATATAACATTATGGCTTTATTTCTACAAATTAAAATTTAGGATGAGGAGATCATTGCCTCAATTTCAAGGTCAAGGCGTGACCCTAATTCATTAAACAATTACAAGTAACTTATAAACAACTTTTGAATTTAAACCTAGGTTATACCTTCTTTCTAAGTGGAGAGCGACTATATATACCAGTTGATCTACATTTTGGGGTTAAAATATTAATTATAGGGAATTCCCTTGTTTGAAAATTAGAATTGTTGGAGAATAGTATTGAGAGAAAGAATGAAGGACGGAGAAAGCAAAGAATTCTCCACAGAAGAGGCTGATCTTCTTGAGAGGAGTATTCGTAGATCTAAAGAACAAGAAGGAAGGAGTGTTGTTTCTTATAAAGATTCTCTGTTACATTTAAATGGAGGGTCAAGTGAAGAGAAGGAGACAGAGGTTCTTGAGAACCTAGGATTTGAGGAGGATGAAGAATCCCAGTTCATGGAAGAGTGCAACCAATCTGTTGATGATCCCTTCTGCCCCTCATATCGTTTTGAAAAGGAGATTCACAAAGAAAGCTGCAAACCTTGGAGGATGGCAGTTATTGTGAAACTTTTAGGAAAGCGTGTGGGGGTGAAGTTTTTTCAAAATAGGTTGTTGAAGATGTGGAATTTAAGCGGCTCTTATGAGTTCATTGATATGGAGAATGATTATTTTTTATTTCGGTTTGACAAGATTGAGGACTACAATTTTGTTTTGCAAGAGGGTCCTTGGATTGTAGCTGATCATTATGTAATGGTTCAACGTTGGCGTCCCTTCTTTAACCCTCATGATGATGATTTCAAGAAGCTGGCTGTATGGCTACGTATTCCAGGTCTCCCAATTGAACTCTATACGTCTAAGCACCTATGTAACATAGGTAATCTTTTCGGGAGAACACTCAAGATTGATAGGAATTCAATTCGGAAAGATATCATAGGAGATAAGGAGTTCACAGATCGAGCAAAATTTGCCCGTATTTGTGTGGAAGTTGATCTTCGAAAAGGATTCCTGTCTAAATTCAAAATAGGCAACCATGTTTTTCCAGTGGGCTATGAAGGTTTGCACCTTGTTTGCTTTGCTTGTGGTAGGTATGGTCACCGCCGTGATTCATGTCCTACCCTTGCTCCTGCTTCGACTAGTACTATTAATCAAAGTACTCAGATTCATACAACAATGGCAAACACCACAGTTCAGCATAAGGTGGCGATGGAAGGGGAGGCTTTTGGTTCTTGGATGCTTGTCCAGCGTAACCAGCAAGGAAGAAAGAAGGTCGTGAATTCAGCTATGGATGCTGCAATCAAGGAGAAGGCTCATGAAGTGCATTCAATTCCGAGCAAAGAATCCGCACCTGGTGTAATTGCCAATAATGGGGGAAAAAATCTGGTGCTGTCATGCAAGTTAATGCCAATTTAGGAGGAGTGAATACAGGTGCTGTTAAGAGGGAGATTTTATCAAAAAAAACGGTCCCTAATTATGGCCAGCCAATTGGCTCACGTTTCGCAATCATTGCTGACGTTAACAAAGTTTCAAAAGATGATAATGTTGCAAGGATGTCTAATCATCAGGATTTTAATGCAATTAATCTGCAGAAATCAAGCAACATTCCTGATTTGAATCAGTTAACCATCATGGATACGTCAGCGCAAAATATTCCTCAGCCAGCTAAGCATATGGGTGATCTAATTAATAGTCTGACTAAGCCTTCGATTGGGGCCCAGGAAAAAAAGAACCAAGAAGATCAACTCCTGCAGAATGGAAGCGTTAAAGTTTCTAGAAAAAATAAACAACAGATACCGAAGAAGACTGGGGCGGTGAAGGAATCTTTTGTTCTAAAGAAAAAACAAACGGGGCTTGCAGTATCTTCTAAGTCTTTCAAGCTTCCCTCTAAACCTCAATCTTTATCGAGGGAATCTAAGGAGAGAATTTTTTTGAGTTTGACTAAAGGTGATACAAACATGTTTCTCAATGATATAGCTCGTAACGTGAATCCTTCTCCAAGCTCGAATCTGGCTCTTAGTTCCATTTCCGGGAAACAGGAGAATGGTCAGCTTCTTGAGAGGGGCCAGCAAAATGGAAAAATCTTAATACCGGACGAAGAGTTTAAGGAGACTAATGAACCCCCTGATGCTTTGGTTAAATCGGTGTTAGGCAATCAGGCTCACAACAATTTGGTGGATTCGGATGGTGCTTCCATTTCGGGAGATTTAAGTGTGCAAACTGTTCCTCAATGATTGGTGTTCATACCATTCTTTCTTCTTCTCTGTATTTGTTTTTTATGAATATTGTTTCATGGAATTGTAGAGGGGCTGGAAAAAAGGGCTTTTCCCCCTAATAAAAGACCTCACAAGAAGATATCGTATTTGTATCTTAGTGCTTTTGGAAACCCGTATTGGTGGACTGCGTGCAAAGCAAGTGGCTAAAAGCCTAGGGTTCTCAAATTTTTTTATTTCTGACCCGATTGGTTTTTCAGGAGGCATATGGATTCTTTGGAATTCATCAGAAGTGAATATCCAAGTTCTGCATACTGATCATCAATTTATTCATTCAAAGATAAGCTGGCTTAATTATCATAAGCAGGAATTTTTCACCTTTGTTTATGCTAGTCCTCGGCGTCAAGAGCGTCATGCTCTATGGGATGCTTTGGAGAATATTCAGCCGCAAAATAATAATGAATGGTGCATTATGGGTGATTTTAATACTTACATTCACTCGGAGGAGAAGAGGGGGAGTTCAGTTCACAATTGGAGGAGCATGCAGGATTTTCAAGATTGTCTTATGTCTTGTCATCTTAGTGATCTGGGGCACCAAGGTCCGAGTTTTACTTGGAGAAGAGGTAATCTTTTGGAGAGACTTGATCGTGCTTGTGTAAATCAAAGCTGGAACATGTCATTTCCGAACAGA